GAGGTGCTGGGTGACGGATCTGAACACACATCCCCTCGGGAACTGTTTGATGTGCTTGATCACGAAATGAAAGCCAAATACAGGAATGAGAGGGCCTGTTTATTACCTCGTTTTTTTTGGTGCTGTTCCCTCGGGGCCCTTCTACATTTAGGGAAAGAATGTGTGAAAAAGACTGGGATACCATCTGAGCGGAAGACACAGCCCCTGTACTCACTGTTAACTCCAGGGCCCGCCAGCTACTGACTTCAGACAAAGGGCCCTTGGGGCCCAAAGAGCTTCCCGGAGGAAAGTGCCACCACCTGGCCTCAATGATGTGCCCACAAGTCCTCTTGCTGGAGCAGATGACTGGGTCGCCGCAGCCCTTTCTCTACTGTTCTGGACCATCCTCCAACTCTCAGTTGGGTGGCCAAGACTGGGGACTGGAAGGGACCCTAGTCATGATAATACAGTCTCCCTCCTCTTACTGGTGGGGAAACACACTGAGGCTGAGTGAGATTCAGGGACTTACCCACCCCTGACTGACAGCGTGCTAGTGATGCAGAGTGGTGTGGCCAAGCAGCAGAGGAGACTGGACATGCAGTGAATCTCAGTTTAGCAAGAACGTCCCAGCAGGAGACCAGCTTCTGCACAGCACCCACAGTGCCGAGGTGGTTAAGTTGCGGGGGCCCCGCAGCATCCGTGAGGATTTCGCTGTCCTGCTCTCTGGTACAAAGGACCGGGAAGTGTCTTGTTGTAAAAGCTGTGGGATAAGCCTGCCCTCTAGTGGGCTGTGGAGCCGTTTCTCTGTTCACAGGCTCCTCTACTTAAACACAGCGTTGCTTTTTCATGCTGCATCCATGTAGAGCAGTAATTCCTGTGGAAGGAATTCACATTTTTGCCTTTCTCGAGCACTCCCACTCCGGCCTACAGAGACTTCTTTGACCTCTGCGCATTCGCCATCATTTGCCCATCTTATAGAAGGTTTTGTTTTTCGTTTTCCCACGTCAGAGGTGTCTTACTTCCCTAACAAGATTCAGGTTCCTAAAAGGCAAGGTTATGTCTTACGTCTTGTTCTTCCACAGCTTCTACCCTGTTGTCCGTTTATCTGGACATGAATTAGAGGTCCCTTTGGAATGGAAAGGAATCCTCTCCCATCCCACCTCACCCACCGTTTGTCATTTGTTCCTAAAACATTCTCATCCCATCTCTCTGATCAATAGCTCCCCACGTGATTGAATCATCAGAATCCCTCAGAAAATTTTCAGAACTCAGTTTCCTGGGCCTTCCTCCAAGCCCGCTGAATCAGTCTCTGTGGTTTGAGCCAGGAAATCTGCTTTACAAACTTCCCAAGTGGTTTTTGATGTGCAGCCAGGTTTGGCAGCCAGCTGCTCTAAATCCCCATTTACAGTTATTTCCCATAGCTTTTCCCCTGACAGCATCCCCACAGGTCTGCAGCTTATGTCAGTTACTAAAACTGTTTTGAGATTTCTTCAGAAACAGAATAGTGTGCTCTTTTAACTGCAGCACTGGGGGGCGTAGGCAGGAAGGACCCCAGAAGCAGGACCCAAGGCCCTCGCTTTGGTTGCTAGTGGCTCTGTGTTCGTAGCAGGAAAAGCCCAAACCAGTACCTTCATGCTGACCGGGCAGGTTGGCGATTTGTTTTGAAGGTTTAGGCTGGATAGGGAGATGAGGTTAGTTGAGTACCCAGTTATTTATTGTCACCTATTCTAACTCATCTGGTTCTCGGAATAACCATGCAAGGTAGAGGGCATTGTCCTTTTGTCTTGTTAGGAGATGGGGTCACGGAGGCTTAGGGAAGCTGGTCACTTGTTGGGAACTATCAGATTCTGCATTTGAATGTAGGTCTGATTTCCAAGGCCATTTTTGCAAAGGTAAGGCCCCAAGTGCCAACCTGCTCTTTTTCACCCTGCCAGGCCAAGCGAGCTGTGCAGCGGGGAGCCACTGCGGTCATCTTTGATGTGTCTGAGAACCCAGAAGCTATCGACCAGGTAGGCCCCCCGGGCCACGCCGACACCGTGCCCTCCCTGGGAGAGGCCCTTCCCTTAGTCAGCTTGACTGGTCATGGTCACGCTGCCTTGTCTCAGGGCCTTTGCCCTTATCTGTTGACATTAGATGTTTTGGACATCGGACTCCAAGGCAAGTGTGTTGAGAGGGGCTAAGAGCCAGAAACTAAAGGGCTTGGGGGCATTTTCAAAGACCCTTCTGGGCCTTCAGCCTGCCCATCGTCCTCAGCCTTGTCCTTCTGGGAGCTCCAAGGCTGGGATGTCTGAGGATTTGTAAGTGGGTATTTGGTGTTCTTTTCCTCCAGCCTTTTTGTCTCTCTTCTGTTTCTTAAAACATGTCTTCCAACCAGGACCATCTCTTCTTCCTTAGCTAAACCAGGGCTCGGAAGACCCACTTAAGAGGCCGGTGGTGTATGTGAAGGGTGCAGATGCCGTCAAGCTGATGAACATCGTCAACAAGCAGAAAGTGGCTCGAGCACGGATTCAGCACCGCCCACCTAGAGTGAGCCCCCGCCCCGGCCAGCCAGGCCTGGCTCCCCCTCTGTGGCTGCCTGCACCTTTATTCCCTGTGGGAATTCTGTTCCTGGGCTTCTCTTCCTGTCTTCTTTCTGTCTAAAATGCTGAAGCACCCCGGGTTCCTGCAGGTTTATATCAGATCTAAGGCTGGAGGCCAGGGAGACATTTTCCTTGTGTTCCTTTAGAGAGAATTTTGAAAAGTCCTTCCAGAAATGGATGATTTGTGCTGAGATGTCTCTGGTCTCTTCTGCCTGGCATTCGCTCTTGGTGACCTCCTATCCTTCTTTCTCTTCTGTCCCGTCTTCCTCTGATTGACACCCAGCATTCGGCTTCCCGTGTCTCCTTCCTCCCATTTAACCTGAACTGGAGAGAAGGGCCTGTGCTTCCTTTTTCCTGTAGGGTAAATTTTATTATTGAAACCCCCTAACCTATATTTGAGTCTAGAAAAGTTAACTTTCAACTGAGACTAAAGTTCGTCACCTCTAGCTAGTTAATGAATAATGTGTAAGCTTCTCTTAAGAAGGGACATTGCTGGCCATTAACTTCTACCTGGCATCTTCTGCCCAAACCTCAGGCTGAAGATTCTAGGAACCTGTGACAGGTGCCCCGTCTATGGTTTGTTTCCTTCTCTTACAAATGTTGGAATATTCACGTACAGGACGATTGCCTGCATGCACAAAATATCTGGATACCCGCAACATTCAATCACCAAAACACTAGTCCTGTTGGCTAAGTGCATGTCCTAGGTGAGGCAACTTCGAGGCTGCAGGATGCAGGGTGCCGTGAGGAACAGATAAGAACTAGAACTAGAGGGAGTTTGCAGAACTGATTTGCTGGCTCCTTTTCAAAGAAAAAAAGACCACTTTGGCAAATATGACTCACTGTAGTGGAAGTTGATATTTGTGGAAGCAGCATACAATTTTCGGAGTTGTTGTAAACCATTAATTATATGGTTAGTAATCACTGTTCCCTCAAAACATGACACTCACTCCTTTGTCCCATAAATACAATATTTGTGTTTATTTGGAAGGGCCTCTCCTCCCGGTTACAGCAAACTCTGCGCTATTCCACGGGGAGCAAGGCTTTATGAGCAGAGTTCTCTTGGCTATTAGGAGGCCTGGCTGAGACCGCCTCTCCCCGGCCACAGCACAGGGTACTACGTAGGCCTGAATAGCACACCCTGTGCATGTTAGCAGAGCCCCAGGTGTTCCTGCAGGAAGGGAAACACACCCTGCTCACCCCATCCTTACCCTTATCAGGGTCGACACAGCCGAGTGCCCGTCCCGAAGCCAGAGAGAGCTGCGACCCATTGTGTCTGTGTTCTGTTCCAGCAACCCACTGAATACTTCGACATGGGGGTTTTCCTGGCTTTCTTCGTCGTGGTCTCCCTGGTCTGCCTCATCCTCCTCGTCAAAATCAAGCTGAAGCAGCGACGCAGCCAGGTAACGCCTCAGAGCAGCCCGTGAACACTGACCCCTGGGGCTGTGTCTCTCACAAAACCAGGGCTGGGGCCTGAGCTCTGCAGTGTGTTCCCAGTGGCCTAGAAACAGCAAAGAGAGAGAAAACCAAGAACAAAGCTTGTAGCGTTGTGTCCGCTCTGTTTCCAAAGGGCCTGTCCTACAGAGACTGAACATTAGGGTGATGATATAGCGGGGGTTTTCCAAAGAGCGGGGGCTTTCCAACCAGGAGTTTTTCCAAAGAGATGCTTAAATTTTAATATGGAACCCCAAAACCTTGCTCCCCAGCATCATCAGCATCACGAGGGAGCTTGGTGGACAAGCAGACACTCAGGCCCCGCCCGAGACCTGCTGAATCCCAATGTACGTCTGGCAAGCTCTCTAGGCGAGTCTTGATAAACAGAGTAGCCATTCTAGTGCCTAGCTGGCACATGACATGCTTGTGGGAAGGAAGGCTTTGGGGGCAGAGGGTGACAGAGGATAAGCTGGAATCTAGACTCTCAAATGTGTGTGTCTCGGGAGAGGGCTGGTGGGCCTAGGCAGGCAGTCTGTTTAAACAGGAGAGTCGCTGAGTTCCCACAGGGGGCCGAGTGGTCACCACTGACCAGTCAGCGGTGCTTGTCGAGCACGGCGAGCCGGCCCCGTGGTGAGCATTCATGCTCATTGTCCTGTTTGCCCTCAGGACTCCCTTCCATGTAAAGAGGGGGACCTTGGCATAGAGTAAGTTAATGACTCAGGGCATTGCAGAGTGGGCCACATAGAGTAGATATCTTCTGGTACTGCCACTTGGCAAGAGCCTGAGTTGATTGCGTGGGCACTTGAATCTGGAAAATCTGTGCTGTCATTGAATTTTGAGTGATTTTTCAAAAGTCTCTTCTGGCCTGATGGAGTCTAACGTTTGCTCATCCCAGTGCATTGAGTGCTAGGGCCCTGCTATTAATACATCCCAGACCCTAACATGGGCTGCATTCTGCCACGCAGAATTCCATGAACAGGCTGGCCGTGCAGGCCCTGGAGAAGATGGAAACCAGAAAGTTCAACTCCAAGAGCAAGGGGCGCCGGGAGGGGAGCTGTGGAGCCCTGGACACACTCAGCAGCAGTTCCACGTCCGACTGCGCCATCTGCCTCGAGAAGTACATCGACGGAGAGGTAATGGCAGAGGCAGGACCCATCCTGGGTGAGGGTGAGGTGGACAGGTTGGCAGAGGCACACAGGATCTAAGATAGGGCCCCACGTCCCCTTCACACAGCCGTGCAAGAGCGGGAGGGCTCGAATGTCTGGGTCTCCAAGGGGATGGCTGCGACCACCACGGGGCACAGACACTCTCCCCAGAGCACCCAGCTGGACATGGGTGATTTCAGAAGTTGATCAGAAATTCAGGGTAGGCAGAAAATGGCTGGTTTTAAGAATGTTCACACATGTTGACCTAATTTTAGAATTGCTCTTTTGAAAACTCTGTGTCTTGGCTCAGTACATACATCCCCTAAAAGCTGTGCAGAACATTTGGTATTTCTCCTTATAAAGAGACAAGGGACATGATGTTCCTTTTTTTCCTTCTAGCTTTTTATTCTGAAATTTTCAGCTTTCAGAAAAGCTGCAAGAATTGTGCAATGAATGATGTATCATTCACATAGACTCACCCAGTGTTTACATTTTGCCACGTTCACTTAGTCTCTGTCTAGGTGGAGACTTATATACACACACCTTTTGGAAAGTTGGGAACAAATCACTTCAGAATTAGTTGCAGACACCTGATGCCCCTTTGAAAGTATTCCACTGCTCTACAGACTCTTGGATGAAAAATGAGTTTTTGCTGAGGCCTTTAGATTAATTAATAGAGTCTTGCGTGGTCTCTAGATACAGACTACCTGGGTTCAAATCCTGGCCCAGACAGGATCTAGCTTTGTGATCTTGGGCAGATGACTTTAATCTCTGTGCCTGTGCTTGTGACATGGATCCAAGACTGACCTATACCCCAGGTGATCACAGGTTATGTGAGAAAATACAGGCAGGATTCTTGCCACAGTCAGGCACAGAGTTAGGTATCAGTTTGAAAATTCCTGTGTTGAGTGGGCCAGAGAATGGGAAGACAAAGTTAGATTAGCAACTTTGGAGGGTGCTTGAGCTCAGGTGCTCCAGAGGTGGAAGCCTAAGAAAGCCCCACACATGGTCTCCTCTTCATGTCACCTGCTTTGCTATGAACTCCAGGTATGTTCAGGGTCCCAGCGAAGGAGAAGACAGGAGAGCTTTGCCCCTTTGCTGCCCTACCTGCCAGTCACAGGGGAACTGAGCCCCTCTGCAGCTGGAGAAGTGGGGTGGGTGGGGAGGGAGTCTCAGGTCACTGGCATGGTGAACAGGGCTCCCTCTGCAGGAGAAGCGTGTGGGGCTGAAGGCTGAGCGGCCATCCCTTCAGGCTGTGTGTCCTTCCTCCTGCCTAGGAGCTGCGGGTCATCCCCTGTACCCACCGCTTTCACAGGAAGTGCGTGGACCCGTGGCTGCTGCAGCACCACACCTGCCCCCACTGTCGGCACAACATCATAGGTAATCATCACCTTTCTGCATCATTGCTGAAGAGGTACTGTCTCTACCGAATGCCTAGTAAGAGTGACATGCTATAGCCTGGTGAGCAAGCAAAACCGCTGCAGCATTGCCATCTGGACTTGGAGGCATGGGGGCCTTGGGTCTGGGAGGCCACATCCTGAGGACAGCCTGGCTTAGAGTCGCCCTGAGTTCAAGTGCTGGCTCACACATAAGCTTCCTGACCTCGGGCAGGGCGTCTGGCCTCCCCAGGCGTGCCAAACTCTTCAGCGGGAAGGGCAATGATGATCCCTGCCCGGGCCCAGTACCAAGGGGCTGTTTCCAGGCCGCCGAGACAACGAGTGAGAGCTGGCAGGGCTGTGGTGCTGCCCCTGCCAGCTGTGGTGTTGGTGAGGGGCCGGGGCGCAGTGTGCACGCCAGGGAGCCATATTTCCGGGAGGGAAACGCCTTTCATCTTGGTGCCCCTGTTGCTCTCCAGGCAGACCAGTGGGGAGGTGGAAGATGGGCCCTTACAGGAATGACTGCCTTTCGAAGCAGGGCAGCCTCTGCCAGCATGGCTGAGTTTGGGGCAACTTAGAACTCGGTGGCCACTGGGCACCTTGGCATATGCAACCAAGCTGGCTGCTTCAGCCTTTGTCCTTATTTGTCCCTCTGGCCCCAGTGTGCTCAGCCCTGCCGACTTTGTTTCCTCCACCTCTCCCCAGAACAAAAGGGAAACCCAAGCACCGTGTGCATGGAGGCCGGCAACCTCCCGCGCAGCCGGCAGCAGAGGGTGATCTTGCCAGTGCACTACCCCGGCCGCGTGCACAGGACCAACGCCATCCCAGCCTACCCCACGAGGACAAGCATGGACTCCCACGGGAACCCCGTCACCCTGCTGACCGTGGACCGGCACGGGGAGCAGAGCCTCTATTCGCCACAGACCCCTACCTACATCCGCGGCTACCCACCCCTCCACCTGGACCACACCCTGGGCCCTCACCGCTGCGGCCTGGAGCACCGCGCCTACTCACCAGCCCACCCCTTCCGCAGGCCCAAGTTCAGCAGCCGCAGCTTCTCCAAGGCAGCTTGCTTCTCCCAGTACGAGACCGTGTACCAGCACTACTACTTCCAGGGCCTCAGCTACCCCGAGCAGGAGGGCCCGGCGCCGCCCAGCCTCGCGCCCCGGGGCCCGGCCCGCACCTTCCCCCACGGTGGCAGCAGCAGCCTGCTCTTCCCCGTGGTGCCCATGGCCCCACCCTCCCACCTGGAGAGCGGCAGCGCATCCAGCTTCAGCTGCTACCACGGCCACCGCTCGGTGTGCAGCGGCTACCTGGCCGACTGCCCGGGCAGCGACAGCAGCAGCTCCGGCCAGTGCCGCTGCTCCTCCAGCGACTCCGTGGTGGACTGCACGGAGGCCAGCAACCAGGGAGTGTACGGCAGCTGCTCCACCTTCCGCAGCTCCCTCAGCAGCGACTACGACCCCTTCATCTACCGCAGCCGGAGCCCCTGCCGCACCGGCGACGCGGGGGGCTCGGGCCGGGGGCCTGTCGTGTGCCTCGAGGGCGCCTCCCCGCCGGAGGAGCTCCCGGAGACCCACGGCCAAGGCGCCGGGCCGGGAGAGCCGTGGTCCGGCCCTGCCTGCCCCTCAGGGGACCAGCTGTCCGCCTGCAGCCTGGAGATGAACTACAGCAGCAGCTCCTCCCTGGAGCACAGGGGGCCCAGTGGCTCTACCTCAGAAGTGGGGCCTGAGGCTTCTCCGAGGGCCGCCCTGGACCTCAGGAGGACCTGGAGGGGTGGCCGCGAGGGGCTGCCGTGCACCTTCTGCGAGCCGCCGCCGTCCGCACTGGAGCCCGGTGTGGGGGCCGCAGGGGGCAGCACCTTGTTCCCAGGCGCCCCGCTCTGTGAGGTCTGCGGCCCCGCGGGCGGGGAGGCACAGCCGGGGGGCTCCCAGGGCCTGTGCAGCCTTCACCCAGACCATTTGCCCAGGACAGATGGGGTGAAATACGAGGACCTGCCCTGCTGCTTCTATGAAGAAAAGCAGGTGGTCCGCAGTGGCGGTGGGGGCAGCGGCCGCCACACCGAGGACTGCTCTGTGAGTGTGCAGTACACACTCTCCCAGGAGCCCCTGCCCAGCTGCCCCCCAGGGCTCAGGGACCTGAGCCAGCGCATCCCCATCATTCCTGAGGATGTGGACTGTGATGTGGGCCTGCCCTCGGACTGCCAGGGGACCCATGGCCTCAGCCCTTGGGCTGGGACATCGGGACCAGATGCCCTGCGGCCCCACAGGGGCCTGGGGGTGGCCCAGAAAGAAGAGCAGGTTCTGTGCTGCCAGGCCGTGATGCCACTGCCACCTGGCTGCCCTCTAGAGGAGGTGGGGTCTGCCAGGGCCAGCCTCCCCCGTGACCCCCAGGACACTCAGGAGTCCAGCGTCAGAGCCACCAAGGCTACAGGTGAGAGCAGGAGGTGACAGTCGGCCAGTCGGGGCCCCTAATCTTTCTCTGAGGTCATTTTCTGAGTCCCTTCAGCACCATCTCTGCCTGATGGTCTCTAAGCGTTATTCTCTAAACAGGCCTTTCCTCTGAGTTCCAGACCCGTTGGGCCTTCTGCTTCCATGTTCTTCCCGAGGTGCCACACAAGCGTCCCAGCCAGTCAGATCCACAGCAGCACCCCCAAATTCCTCCGTCTGCGCTCCTTTCTCAAGGCTCCCCACCCACAGGCTCAGGCCAAAAGGCCAAGCAGTCCCTGAGCCTGCCCGCCCCCTCGTGCTCCAGGGTCCTGGGCTTCTTAACCCATGAGGATTACGTGTGCTTGTGTGCCACCCCCCATCCAGGAAAGTGAATTCCCAGAAGAATGAAACCTAGCAAGAAACATACAAAATGCAAAGCCAGAATTTGTATTAGATTCAGTAGAAGTTGTCAAACTGCTATAAAGTTTCCGAGTGTTTTGTCTCAGTAATAGACTGTGTAGTCCAGCACTTGAGCAGTACTGCAAAAAGTTCCACCTCCAAATATGTCCCAAATTTACCTTCTCTGCATCCCCGCCTGCTGTCCCTTCAGTCCGGCTCATTTCCTCTGTCCAGGGTGACGGCAGTGGCCGTCTGAGTGGTCTGGTGCTGACTGGTCTTGCCTTTTATTCTGCATAGAAGCCAGAGGAGTCTTTTTTGAAACATAAGTCAGTGTTTTTACACTAGGAAACCCTTCAATGACTTGCCGTTACTTCTAGAATTTAACAAATGTGAACTACTCCCTTCTTTCTGTATGATGTGGCTCCCGCCTGCCTGTGTGACCTCCTGGTCCGCCCTCCTCGCTGCTCACTTCTGTAGCCCCCTCAGGCCTGCGTCCTGTTCCTCCAAGGTGCCCAGCCCATTCCAGCCCCTCCTCCAGTTCTCAGGGCCCCTCAGGCCCTGCGCCTCCTCTGAGGTCACTGTCACACTCTCTCCTTACTTCCCAGGTTATCACAATCTGAAAATACTTTGTTTTGGGGGTGTCAGGTCTTCTCCCCTGCCCTTCTCAGTGCCTGCCGTGTACAGACTCTTTTGCATGGTGTGATTTCGTGCAACCTAAGGGCTTCTAGAAGGCTCTGCACCTCCCGGTGAGAGAGGCTGGCTCTCTAGGAGGCACCGGTGCTCCCAGCCAAGGAGCCCTGCCTCAGCCCTTTGCCATGTTCAGCCTGTGCGGTATCGTGAGCTGTCACTCCCTGAGAGCCTGCCGCACGCTGGGGCTGGGCTCCCGAGTCCCTTGCCTGGTCCCTGTGTGTCGTGCCCGAGGCCTGCGGTGCTGGCTCCCTCCTCTCATGACTGTTCTCTCTACCCCAGGGCAGAGATCTCGCCCCGCGGACGGTGGCCCGAGAGCCTGCGCTCAGAAGGAACTCTGACGTGGACATGGGGACTGTACGGAGACTCCAAACTCTTCCTTCAAAAAAAAATTTTTTTTAGCTTTGACAAACACTCTAAGTGGTAATAAAGAGAGCCCTCCTCAACCCAAAATGTGAGCCACCTGTGGCAACCTGCCCTCCCCCTCCATTAACAAACCAACAGACAAAATTCTGTGAGTCTTTTGCCTATTTTGATAACATGTTACTCTGTTTTGTAAGGTGTGTGTGCTTGGGGTTCCGAGGTGTGTGGGATTGAGTTCTCTGCTCTGTTTTTTAAGATATTATATGAAATGTAAAAAGTTATTTAAATATATATTTTAAAGAACCCTAACCGCCCACTTTTGCTGAAAAAAAAATCACTGCTGCATTAATTGAACCACATCATGTGTAGATACTGTTGTCTCCCCAGAGGGAGCTCAGGCCTTTGAAAAGCTCAGGGCTACACCCGCCTTAGA